CGATGGATAGGTCTCCGTATTGCATGACGTGAGACATTTTGGTCTGAGCTTTGGTGTACTCGTACTGCTCCTGAAGGGTAGTCGTGTCGGAGGCTGTCTCCGCGTTTTCCATCCAATGGATACTGTACTCATCACCTGATTAGGGGAATGGGAGATATCATTAGACAATGGCTTATGGGGTGAGGGGAGAGTGTTAAAGGGAGGACTGGGATGTACAGTACTGTAGTAACTCTATAAACTTGATTTGTATTGTAAACCATGAAAATTAAAAATGTAACTAAAAACTGTAACATATTTTTAATTCTCCGTTATATTACTAATTCAATAATAAATAAATTTAAATGAGATTTCGTAGTAATCCAGATAATTTTATAAATTATCAAAATGATATTCATTTTTTTCAATGATCTTAAACTTACCAAGGGAAGCCTTGACCTCAGTGTCACTGTAGTAGGCATAGCTGGACTCCTTGGGGTTGGAGGCAGTGGTGGCGTAGATGTTGATGTCGGTGGGCAACAGCTTGTCAAACATGGAACCTGGTCATAATAAACTCCCAATTAACAACCTAACAAAATATTTCACCAAGCTCACATACCAGCTTCGCAGGCCTCGATGTAGAAAACCAATTTGCTATACTTGTTGTCGGCGTGCATTTTCTTCAGGGTTTCGGCCAATTTCTCGCCGTACAGGTAGGTCTTGGGGAAGGCCACCAAATCGGGAGCACCATGGTCGTCGAAAAAGATAAACACGTGATCATTAGGTCCCGATTTGAGCACCTTTTTGCCCGCATTTTCGAGCTCTGAGTCGCCCAACAGTACTTTCACGAAAGTCTACCAAAAATGAAAAATATATTTAATGTAGCATGCATATTTTTAAAAAGTTTTCTACCCTACCTCGGGGGTGACCTCAGCGCCCACGTAGTCCTTGGGTACGTCGTGGTAGACGTCCTGGTGCTTAGGGTTGTTGAACACCTTTCCCGGGAAGGGGTTGGCCTTGTTGTTG